GGCCCCCGCCCTGCCCGTGGGTCGCCCCGTGGGGGCCCGGGCTGTCCCTTCTGCCAGGCGCGGCCGGGACGTGGGGCCCCGGTTTGGGCACGTTGTGGGCCGGGGCCGCCCGAGGCCTGCGAGTCGGCGCAGAGCCGGGCTGCAGCGGCGGCCGAGCTGGCGGTCACACACAGGGTCTCCTGAGACCGGGACACGTGTCCTCTGGGCCGAGAGCGGCGGGGTGCGGGGCCGCCCCACGAGCTGGGCACAGCCGTGTGCTGCCCTGGGCCCCGTGGCTCTCTGTGGGCTCTGGCCCCCCGCAGGTCCCTAGCTTTCTGCCCCAACCCGGGGCTCCATGCCGTGTCTGCCCTGCCCGCGCTCGGGGGCCCCGTCCACTCTGGTCACTGCACGGAGCCGCCCCCGCCCCGGCCTCTGGGCAGTCACCTGCCGACGCAGGTCCCAGGTGCAGAGGCTGCCCAGGCCTCTGGCCAGCAGTAGCCGCCAGTCCTGGGGCGCCCCTGGGCTGGGGGAACGGCCTGGGCCTCGCCTGTGGTCGGGGTGCCGGGGCGCCGGGGCAGGGCGCTGCGGGCTCTTGCAGCAGTTCGGGTGCTGGCTGCCGGCCTGGCCACGCCGTGCAGGTCCCGGCCCTCACTGGTGTGTCCAGGGCAAGGCGAGACCCGAGAGAGGCGGCCCGGGGCGCTGGGCACCGTGTCCCCGCCGCTGTGCCCGCGAGGCGCCGTCTTCAGGTCCGGTCCCGGGCCCTGGAGCTGGGGGCGTCCGCGTGGCGGGGCGGCCCTGTGGCCTCAGCACCTTCGCTCTTGCAGGCATCGACTACAAGACCACCACCATCCTGCTGGACGGCCGGCGGGTCAAGCTGGAGCTCTGGTGAGTGGGCTGGGCCAGCGCCCGGCCACTGGGCTCCAGGCAGACACGCCTCCCCGAGGTCAGCGCCCGGCTGGTCCTCAGCCCCAGGCCCCGGGGTGGGGTGCCCTGGCCGCCCCCCACCGCCACCGCTCTGTTTCAGGGACACGTCGGGCCAGGGCCGCTTCTGCACCATCTTCAGGTCCTACTCGCGGGGCGCACAGGTGAGGCCCGGCCGCGGGGGGCAGGTGCTGGAGGCCGGGGCCCCGGGAGGGCCCCTGCAGAGATCCCCGGGCAGCTGCCCATTTCATCTGGGCGTACTCTGTGCAGCCAGGCTCTGTCTGAGGGCTGGACACGGTCTCGGCCGGGCAGGCCGGCCAGAGGCTCGCAGTCCTCTGCCCCCGGCCACCCCTGCACTTGGGCAGGGCTGGTGCTGGACGGGGGCAGGCGGCGCCTGTGGGCCAGGCCGGGTGGGCGTGGCGCCGTCTGTGGGACCGCCGCTGGCTTCTGGCTCCGGTGACCGAGGCCAGCTTACCCACCCTGCCAGGATGCTGCGGCCTCAGGTGTGGCCGGCTGGGCCCTCGTGGGCACATCCTCTGCCTCCGAGGCTGCCCAGAGGTGGCGAGTGGGAAGGGCAGCTGTGGCCGTGGCCATGGAGGGGCCAGGAGCCACGGCAGAGCCCGGCCTTGGCTGCCACCTGTGTCCACCCGTCCGGCAAGGGGCAGGCCCATCTGGCTTTGGAGTGCCGAGGGCCGGTCCGTCCTACTTCTCGTTGGCAGGACTGGAGGGACCTGGGCCCAGGTCTCAGCGCTCTGGCCAAGCGTGCTGCCCACAGGGCACTGTCCACACACAGGGCCCTGGGGGTGGACTCACACGACCCCAGGGGGCCGAGCTGTGCTCACCATCCACTCTGGGCCGCACGTCCCCAACCCCGAGCGGCCGGAGCCAGTCCGCTGCTGGCCCTGAGTCCGTGCCCGACCCTGTGCGGGCAGAGCCTGCTGGCTTGACGCCGCGTCCCCGCAGGGCATCCTCCTGGTCTACGACATCACCAACCGCTGGTCCTTCGACGGCATCGACCGGTGGATCAAGGAGATCGACGAGGTGGGTGTCCCCAGGCGCCCTGTCCGGCCCGCGGCCCCGGCTGTCCCCCACGCCGGCGCCCGGGCCGGGCCCCGCTGAGTGCCGTGTCCCCCAGCACGCGCCCGGGGTGCCCCGGATCCTGGTCGGCAACCGGCTGCACCTGGCCTTCAAGCGGCAGGTGCGCACGGAGCAGGCGCGGGCCTACGCCGAGAAGAACGGCATGACCTTCTTCGAGGTCAGCCCGCTGTGCAACTTCAACGTCACCGAGTCCTTCACCGAGCTCTCGCGCATCGTGCTCATGCGGCACGGCATGGAGAAGATCTGGAGGCCCAACCGAGGTGGGCGGCGGGGCGGGGCCTGGCGGCGGGGCGGGGCCTGGCGGCGGGGCGGGGCCTGGAGGGCTGGGTGGGGCCTGGCGGTGGGGCGGGGGCTGGCGGCCAGGGCCCCCGCCTCGCTGACCACTGACCACCCCCCACCCGGCAGTGTTCAGCCTGCAGGACCTGTGCTGCCGTGCCATCGTGTCCTGCACCCCCGTGCACCTCATCGACAAGCTCCCGCTGCCCGTCACCATCAAGAGCCACCTCAAGTCCTTCTCCATGGCCAACGGCATGAACGCGGTCATGATGCACGGCCGCTCCTACTCACTGGCCGGCGCGGCCGCAGGCGGCAGCAGCAAGGGCAACAGCCTCAAGCGCTCCAAGTCCACCCGCCCCCCCCAGAGCCCCCCGCAGAACTGCTCCCGGAGCAACTGCAAGATCTCCTAGCAGGCCGGCTGGCGGGCGGGGCGGCCAGCCCCCGGGGACGTGGTGGCCGGTGGCCGGGCCCTGCCCCCCCGGCCCCACAGGGCGGCACGTCCAGCGCCCGGCGGCTCGCCGTGTCTGGACTGGAGCATGTGGTGCTGGCAGCTGCCTCCCTTCTGCCTGTGGCCGAGGGCCCGGCCCTGCCCGCCTCGGCGGGCGCCTGGTGCCGGGGCGGGTACTGGCCACCCGCCCTACCCAGGGGCGACCTCTGGACTTCGGACCCGTTCTGGCTGCGCTGGGGCCGCCCGCCCTGCGCGGCCTCTGCTGCCCGCCGGCGCCGTCGGGCCCTGCAGACGGGTCTTGTTTGTACAGTAAAGGGAATCCGCTGTGACTGCCGTGTCCATGCTGTGGTGCCACGGCCACGTGCTGGGCACTAGCTGCCTACGCTGGCCTCACTGACCAATGCGCCTGCTGCGCTGGCCGCTGGCTTTCAGGCCGCGCCCCCTCTGGCCTCCAGCCTGCCCTTCCCTGCAGCCGGTCAGACGGGCTGGGCAGCCCCTGCAGTGTCCACGGCAGCCAGGCAGCTGTCTGGGGCCAGTGGGGGCCAGGCGCAAGCCTGGCGCAGGGCTCTGGGGTCGGCTCCGCAGGACGCCGTGTGGGTGTGGGGTGGCCGGCCAGGGCTCTGTCCAGCCTGGCGTGGGGGCCCCTGCTGGTTGGGTGCCCTGACCAGCCTGCCCTCTGGCGTCTCCCAGGGGGTCACAGGCCAGGGAAGCCCTTTGTCCTTGATCACTTCACGCCGGGGCGCGGGGCCCGCCTGGCCGTGGGCACCCCTGCACCCAGGGCAGCCATCAGTGCCCTGCCCTCCACCCCCCACACCCACCCCCAGCTCGCCGCCGCCTGTGACTCCAGGGGGGCAGTGACTGAAAGGGCCCAGGGAGGAGCCACCCTGCTGTCCCCCCACACCCCGCCCGTTTTTCTGTGCTGGGCAAGGACCTGCAGTTGACCGGCCAGGTGCCCCTTCCGGGAGCGGAGGGCCCCCCCCACTCCCCCCCGCGGAACCCCAGAGTGGCCGGTCTGCTGAGGGCCAGCGGCCGATGGCAGGGCCCGGGGGCGGGGCGTCAGGCCCCCTCCCCTCGCCGCCCTCAGTCGCGGCG